ATGTGGGGGCGTGTTAGAACGAGGCGTTTTAGGTAGGCGTGGCTGACTTAACTTTTATAAAGAATATCTCTTTGGTTTTGAGACTTTAGTCTTTGCAACTTTACAGATCTTCTTTATGCACCAAGAGCTTGTAACACTCCAAAGAGAAAGGAAAACTTGAAATCTCATCATATGACCCCTTTAAATAAATTAGGGTGATATGATATGTGTTGATTAAATACATGATCAAGTGGCTGAGATCAGGCTACATTGTGTTTATTATTTTATCTGCCACATATATCAGTGCTACTTGGTTATTAAAAACTGGTAAAAAGGAAAAATCACTTTGGTCCTGTGTGTGGTATGTGTCCTGGCCACAAGACTGAGCGCTCGAATGAAATTAAGATATTTATTCTAAGCAAGTGCAAGCAGCTCTTTAAAAATGTTAACGTTAATACAGTCGTTTTTTTCTTCTGGTGATTTGTATTTGTTGTCAATTGAGCGTGTCTTAAACTAAAATCCCTTTAAGGAACCGCTGTAAGGAAATAAGCAGAAGATTAACAACGTGCAGTACAACAAACACCACAAACCAGTGTGTTCATAATTAAGATAATAGATTAAAATAATATGGTAAGACACACCCATTTGAAATATCAAGCAGCAAAATTAGTTGTTTTATACAGCTAAAAATAGCTGGACGCGATAATAGCACCCCTTTAAGATTATTTTCATAATCTTATCCTTCAATTCTAATCTGTTTAATACCGTAAAACGGAGTGTATTAATCATTTAATAAGATAATTGAAACGTCAATTTATTTAAATCTACAATTTAAACTTGCGTAGGGGTTGCGCATGCGTACTACTGTGCTTTTTGAGGTGAGTCACTTAACTTACCCGACGGCATATTAATTATATCACAGTGTTTCGGAACATTATGAAATATATACAATAAGATGGAGTTACAAAATGTGCATTTAGAAATGTCTATAGGAAGTTTTCGGGAGAAATGTATTCGTCCCGCGCAATCTTGTTGCTAGCCTAGCACAGTTAGCCAAACAGTCAGTTGTTTAAGATTAACTGTTACATTTTATTTACAGACCACTAACTATTTACAGTTTTTTTGTGATACATTTGTGATATTTACATATAATAAAGTGATAAATTATGACAGTGTTTAGGTATTGTAAATATTCCACCAACTGCTGGGGTTGCTATGGTTAACATTACCTCTTCAGGCTAACAATTTCAGTTCAGGAGTGAATGTTTACCGTCAGGTGAAACTTACTAGATAAATTGATTACTACATATATGAAAAATGATCACTGGTAAAAGTTGCTTAACATATGCTGTAATGTTTTGAAAAGATTCCCTAGAGTCATTGGATAAATAAACTGAACACAGTCTCAATATGAAGCTGATTACATTGACAAACACCCTCAGGTTGGCTAGGCATGTTTATGACAGCTTATGGTTTACTTGTATTCATAGCCTGAGAGTTTAATCAGAGCAGGTATTGCAGGAATGTGTCATCCTCCACAATAATTACAATTAGGAGGAATTCCACTGGAACACCAACCAGTGTTGCCAGATTGAATGGAAAATTTCCAGCCCAAAAGCTCACCAAAACCCGCCCAAAACTTTAACTGTCAAAATAATGTTATAGAATATGTAAATCAAGGTTGATAAGGGCCATTTTAACTCCTTAAAACAAAATATTGACGACAAAATAATATAAATTATAAATAAGATAAATTTCGCAGGTAAACGGATCAAATCGGGGCGAATAGCCTACATTAAAAAGAATTAGTCTACCGAACATGAATAAAATATGCAAGCAGACACTGTCAAAACGGCAATCATGAAATTAACCATACCCTCGAAACAACACATGCATCATTTTCAGTGTCAGCAGTCAGAATAATCCAGTTTAAATGCAAAAAGTGCCCAATATAAGTGATAGGAAAAAGCAACGTAATTAGCAGGTATTTCACACTGGTTCATGCACACACCATGACAGTCAACTCAACACTGTGTCATTCATTGATACTTAATTATAACCCGACAATTAAAAAAATAACAACAACAATAATGCGCTTACCTTCGTGTCGCTCTATAATTTTACACAGAACTAGAGGAAGCCTCTTGTTAAGTTCATATTGTAGAACATCATACAGAACTTTGCACAGTCAAAACTAATCAAGTCTAGCAGCTTTCAAGGATTTATCAATCTGGATGTTTAAAAGATAAAAGACATGATCGTATAAACCGACATATTTAGTTTCGGTTATGATTAATTCAAATGTGCTCTGATTTCGGAGTTGCAGTGATAGAGCCTTCGTGTCATCTCACTCCACAATAATTCATGTTTTGAGAGTTGAGTCACTCTCCCACTCTTTAACTTATATTTAGGCATTGTGATTACTTGAATATACAGTCACTACATTCAAAATCAGATACATTATGACTTATCACGCTAAAAACTTGTCACTCATGAATCATAACGTCTGTCTGCTGAGCCCTCGTGATAAGTGTGGCTGTCGACCTTTACATCAGCACCAGCGCCTCTGCAGTGTGTGTGTGTGTGTGTGTGTGTGTCAAGTCAAGTCAAGTCACCTTTATTTATATAGCGCTTTTAACAATACAGATTGTGACAAAGCAACTGAACAGCATTAATTAGGAAAATAGTGTCAATAATGCAAAATGACAATAGTAAACACTCATTTTTCAGTTAAAGACAGTTCATCATTGAATTCAGTGATGTCAACATCCAGCTCAGTACAGTTTAAATAAT